TCCGCTCGCCCAGCATCCAACCCTCGCAACGCTGGGAGCCCGTATCGAATGAGCTCAGAGAGTTAAGAGACGTCTTGCGGAAGCTTGAGCGTCGGCTCGCTCCCTCGACGATTTCGGACGAAACGTGCGTGATTGACGAGGCGGCATTATTTTTCTCTTCGTCCGGAATGCGATAGTATTGACCGGGGGACAATGAGTTTTCTAAGCCGTTCACTGATCAGTTTTTCTGTCTGCAGATAAATCCAGCAACCCTCCGATCTCGAGACTGCACTGATGTCATCACCAAAAGGTATATTGTCGTTTTGTTCTTTCTATTTATCATTCCGATAGTTCTGCGGTTTGCGCCGCCACCTCGGCGTGAGGGCTGGAAGCAGTTACCCGAAAGCTCCTCTGAAGTCTCGCACAAGCCCATCCGGAGAACATCTCCCATCATCCGCTCCGAGCATGCGATGTGTATTTATTGTTCTCTAATTGTTAGAGACCTCTGAGCGAGCGAGGGGACGTCTGACCTCTGACGCTTCCGATCTCAGCCTCCAATAGGCCTTGGCTCCGTGGATCGCCAACTGATTATCTCCACCCCAAGGTCCCTGGAAAAGCGAAGTTCGCCTATTGTTTGGCGGGTGGTTCGCCGAGAGCTCACCCTCCCAGGGTAGCAACCAAATATCCTATTCATCGGAATCGTCTTCTCGGAGCTCGCGCGATTCCGGTCGTCTCCTCAGCTTTGGCGCTCTCAGACTCCAAGAATTCCTCTAAGACCTTCAAGGGGAAAGTAGGTACGAAGTCAAGTCAGTCATCAGTCCATCACGAACAAGGTACCGCACTGAATCTCGATGGACAATGACCGCATCGCGCTCACCTGATAAGGTGTCGGCCCCATTAGACTGGGAGGGGTTTCGGTCCAAAAGAGCCCTTCATGCGGAGGCTAGATCATTGTCGATTTTCGGGTAAATGACAGTACTGACTCCATCCACGTTCCGACTAAATGACGCTCGTCCGCAGGTGGTCCCGGCCAGGACGACGCAGAGCGTTCCATGCCCCGCACTGTAACGTGTTCAGCGCCAGAGTGAGGTATCGGGTAGAGCCCAGGGAAGGGTCCATCGGGAAAGGGACTCAACCCCTCCTCCACAAAGGACATCAAATATTCGACTCTACGACGGAAGGAGCATTCATCGCCCACTTCGGTCCCTTACTTATTAAGGGGCGTCTCGATCAATGAGCCAATAAACAAATCCTCCGGAAATGCCTTCTCCGATAAGAATGAAGACATTGAAGTCTGGAGGATAAGCTTCTGCACCGAAAACGAACATAAGTGTTGGAAAATTCCCATCCTACGCATCGCATTTTCCGGCGTATCGCGCGCTTGCCCATCATCTCCATTGAAAGGATTTTCTCTAACTGAACAAACGAGGCGCATAACCTGGACTCCGATATAATTCTTCATCGCCAGAGGCGACGAGGGGCATCCATCAATACAGAGTGGAGATTCGGGCACCGGAAATCGGAAAGGAGTACGGAGTCGGCAGGAGCTTCTGGAAAGTACAAAAAAGCGACTGAGCACCCGTTCACGAGAATGCAGAAGCGGAAACGGGATCGGGTGCAGACGAGACGAAGATGTCGTCGGATGCGCTCACGTTTCGAGCCTTTTACCTCCGAAATGCAAGCGCGCGTGAATACGCGAAGCAGAGACGATATTGGGCAAAATCTTGATGAAGAGAACTTCCATGAAAATTAGTGGTTGATGATATCGAACGCAAACGTGAGGTACAAGGTATAGCATAGGGATCGGAACTACTGCCCGCGGGATAGCTCCCGTAGACTCTAGGACTGCACACGAGTCATTCATTCGTGAGCAAAACTGAGCGAGCGCCACTCACAGCCTACGATTCAGAGGCATAGCGGTTATTCTGAAGTTTCGTAGTGTCGCCACGTTCGATCCTCTTATTCGCGAGCCTTGAAATGTGCGGAAGCTGCGCTGTCCGTGAAGGAGATCATTATCGATGACGTCGGAGTAATTGAAGCCCCGCAATCATCCGATCGGGGAAAAAAGCGCTTCTAGGGATGAGTCGTCCCCAACTCTGTAAAATATTCAAATGGGCTATTCGCTCCACTCAGCTGGTTGCCGAATCTCGACAAGCATCAATATTTTGATTCCTTCCATTCAGAATCCCCTATCCGGGCACGGAAAACATTCCTGGGAATCTGTGACACTCACATCGTGGAAGTTTCGCTCATGGAAAATGCTTTGTGATTTTGGCTGGTTACGAGTCGCTCTCGCGGCACGAAAACCTTGGACGGCTTCTTATGATCTAGCCGTGGGGGAAACCGCCCAGAATCGAACTGACCGCCGCACTCGAATCCAGAGAGGTATGACCACGCATGTAAATGAGCTTGTGACCAGATCAATCGCCCTTCCGAGGAATTCATTCAGCTTTGGACTTATCATTGATCGATCAGTCGAAGCACCGATGAGTCGATAAACGAATGTGTCGGACGCTCTCTTGTCGGGAGTCACTCACGTTTTTCGCGTCGTTTTTTCCTTCCTTAAAATTCGCTAGAGTAGATTCTGACGGGGATTTTGAAGGAGAGATGAGGACTGCTGATGCATCGACCAGCCGAGGAAAATTCACCTACTTATTCACTTCATCTTCAGAGTCATCTCTCGAATCTTACCGAGAATTTCTCTGAGGATTCGCAGAGGACAAATCTTGAGCTCAAATCTTCATCAGAATTGATGGCATTCGATGTGAAGGTCATCGCGCGTATGATTATAATCATACGCGCGATGATTCCTGATAATCATCAGGGATCCGGAGGATTCTCGGAGCATCGTTTCTGGATATGTCGGCGGTCCCGCCGATGAAAAGATGATTCTGCTTTCCTGTCAATCATAGCATGCTGGATTTCCATGGCTTCATTGATAAGCGCTCGCTCTTCAGACCGAGTTGCTGTCAAGGCTCGAATAGCAGAGTGGCGACGCGGGAACTCGACGCAGGACTCCGAGGGAGGAAACTCATGGGAGCCTGCGCGTCCCCTCATGAGGATTTTCTCTCTTCCATTATTGCGATTGCACGCTTAGTGCCGCGCAATCCCCCCAAAACGTTCGGGGAGCGGATCGGCCTCAATGAATCATCAATAGCGGACGAATACATATATTTAGCTGTTCGTGACAGTGATCAGCGAAAAAGGAACAGTCTCCATCTATAAAGGTCGACAATATACGTCGGATCACGATCCCGACGTCGAGTCGCTCGATACCACAAATAGTAATAGCGGGGTGGGGGAGTCGAGGAGCTCATGGCTGAGAGCCCCGTCTCGTTCGAATGTTCCATCACTGCTGGGAAAGCATCAGGACGATATCAGAGAGCAGTGAAGGGAGATCAGTTGAGATCCGACAAGAACGAGACTCCAGCTCGTTGAACCGAATAACGGAGGTGGGCGGTCTGCAGCCACAACGGGTTTCCCCATTTCGTGGATGGCCGCCTCTTTCCGAACAGCATCAGCGGCGGCAGTTGATGGGTTGTAAATACCGGAGATGAGGGAAAAGGGAAATCTCCTTCCCTCTCCGCTGCTCTCCGCTTCCAGCGAGTGCCACGCTGTAACCCTGAAAACCCCCGTGTTAGTGCTCCTTGGAGCGTTCGGCGCAGTTCGAGCTCGAGCTGACTATCCTCTCCTCGGCGGTTCCGGACTTCACGCGTCTGAATGACAGGCGGAGATTCGGAGCCGGTAGCATCTGATCCGACCGGATCATCAGTGGATCGACCACTTCACGGAATCATCTATTTTCGAGACTCCATCTAATGGTGGTCCCTCGCACGAGAGGGTCAAGTAGTATATTGATCCGGCCCGGAAATGTAGAGATGAGGCGATAATAATAAGGGGTAGCTGTATTGAAGGTAACTCCATTGGGAGAAGAATATTAACTTTGACTCTGTCACTGATAGTATTCTAACAAATTCGTAGGATACATCGATCTTTTCTCTAGACAATCCTTCCGACCGGGAGCGAACAAGAATTCATCAGTCTTATTCTTGTCGATTGCATCCGGGTAGAATGAGGCTTTTCAGAGCTCCCCGTGGTGGCGCCTCGTGGGATCGACGGACATCCTCCTCGAGTCCCGGCGCACGGATGAGTAAGAAGAAGATTTGATACGAATTAGGAGAGTACTGTGTATGCGCTGTCGAGAAATTAATAATTCGTCGGATTACTATCTCCATAAGGAGAAAAAAAGTTTAGACAAATTTCAAACGCTAATGATCCGTGCCACCTTCGGCTCATAATCCTTCAGTATACAATCGGGCTCGTTCAGCTTCTAAAACCACTTATTTTCCTTTCTTACTCTTTATACATGGTTTCCACGTCTTAAGTTCCTCCTGATTCCGCCATAACATTCATTTGTCAATCGTTCACCGAGCTAAGAAGCTGAAACACGATTTTCACCAATCGACCCTTGCTTGTCATTCGACCCATTCTGGTAGAAAAGTTATTGCTGTCATTATTGGAAAAGATGTCACAGTAGACGCGTTGAACTCTGTTTCCGAACAGATTAGTCCGGGGTTCTGCTCAGAATCCCATTGATTGGTACCGTTGATTCATTCGAAGATAGGAAGATCGACCCACGTCGGAAATATGGTGCAGATATAATTTCATGATAATTGCTCGTCAAGGTGAATTCTGTTGGTGAGCTTCGCCGATCATGAATTTTCGTCGACACTAATCATTATTGAATGAAGATTGAGAACCCTCGACTTAGGAAGTAAGGTGTTCCGCCCTTTCGGTGAGCGTTTGCCCTGGTACGGATACATAGAAATAATGCTAAAACGTCTCATGATTTGTCTCTTCTGAAGTGTACCGGTCCGAGATTTGTATAAGTAGTGTCCTGCTTGCCGGGACGCAGGATCAATTCGACTAAACATTTTGGTTGCTACGAAAGGCACCTGCAAGTGATAAGGTCTCCGTTGGCGAAGTACATCTCTGTCTAAGAAATGCCTCGAGAAGTAACGCACGACTAGTACTTTCACCGCTCCGACTCTTTACCTAGGTTCCACTGAATTTACAGCACCCCGCTGTTCCTGGTCGGGGTCTTTTCGCTAATTAATTATTGATGATAGCAAGGGATCGGATCCTTCCTCCGTGACCATCATTTCATCATAGGTTCCCGTGAGTAGGGTGCAGGTTGTGCCAGGACTCGAGCTCCCCATGCCTGACGAAGGACTACTCGGATCATCAGCTGATGGTTCTCGTTTGACGTAGAACTCCGACGTCCAAGGGGAGGGCGTTGGCGACGAACAACGTACCATGGCCGTCGATGTTGTGACAGGTCCTTGCGCGTTTGCAACCTAGAAACGAAGAGTCGCATCGTTGAGTGATAGCTCTCAGGAAATTTTGTACCGGGAGAATTGTTTCGGATTTGTCTCGCTAAATCGTAAGTCTGTAGCTCCGATTCGGCCAATGATCGTCGCACGCGTGATTTGAACGGCATCTTCGAAGCGTAGACGTCATCTAGAGAACTCGCGAGCGGTATCTCTATTCCGCGCGCTCCCGCCATTCGGTTTTGTCGACAATGCTCTCTTGATCCTCAGAGTTCCGGGAGAGTGAGTCGGTTCCGCGATATTCGTAAAAGGTCGCCATTGTAGGTCAAAGCCTGGGAGACAATTCAGGTGTTCGGGAAAGCGCGAAGCAGCCACGCCGCGATTGAATCCCCGGACTTATTCCATAGCCTGACCGCTCTTAGGGGGATGGAAGCCCGGCTCAAGCATTGAAGTCGGCGAGTACAGACATGATCGATCGAATCTCGTGTCGCTGAGGAGAGGTCGGATTGAGGGATAGGAATACCGGTTCGTTTTCATAATTAGAGCGTGGAACCGGGAAGCACGAGGTCGTACCCTCCTCCATCAACAATGGCAAATACCTTTGGCGCCCTCTACAGAGCGTTTCGCGCAACCGCTAAGAAAACACAGAATAAAGAGAGGGTTCGCCCGGCGATTCAAGTTGGCCCCGCTTCAGTTTGCTTTGAGCCTTCGACACGATGGGCCGGCCAATTGAAGGCCGGGCAGCTCTTCTGGTCTACATTCTCGTGATAACGCTGCTCATTCTTTCGATTGTGAACTTCTGCTTCACGTTGTTAATTTTCGGAGTGCTACGAGTTGGGCCATCCGGCATGAGCGGACTCGAGTTTTTACCCGACGAGAACCTCATGTGGTTTCTTCAACGCACCGATATTCAATCGATTGTTGCTCACAGATCGAAAATCAGCTCTTTCAAAGGACAGGACCTCAACATCGTTGGCGAGAACAGCGATGTCGTCCTGAACGCCGGGGCTGAACTCCGAGTCGGACCGCGCGCGACTCGAGTAAGTCGAGTCGAGGAAATGCGTGTCGTGAGTCCGAAAACGGGGAAAACCGTGTTTTCGACAGACTTTAAAAATTTCAAAATTCCCAAAGGAGTTCCTAATCTCAGTGTGAGCGAGGCACACGTCAAGAAAATCAGGAGTCCGTTCAACGAGTCGCTGCTGATCACTTCTGAGAAACAAGTCTACCTCAAGGGAAATGCCGGCGTGCACATCAAGTCGAAGAACATCTCTGTCCGAGCTGCTCAAGACATCCATTTGAAAAGTGTTCACGGTAAAGTCGTCCTGGACGCCAAGCAAATCATATTCAACATAGCGGATATGCAATCCCCCGAACCGGGCCCTCCTCAGTACCGATTGTGTGTTTGCGGCTCGAACGGCCGCGTGTTTCGGGTTGCCGTCAGAGAGCAAGGATACACTTGCAACCACGTTCGTTTCCCAATCAGTGAGAACCCGTGCACGTAGTGTCTGCTGGAAACGCAAGGAGTGTCTTGTACAAAACCTCTATACATATCTGTTCTACGTTGGTTACTTCTACTACAGCTCATGAGCTCGATGTATAAATTTTTTATGAATAGATCTCATTTTCTCTCGTTGAGGATATCTGTTTCCCATGAGCGAACGTCAAAAGTTCAAGTGCAAATGCGAGGAATCAGGTGATGGAGTTCACGGCAGGCCAACCGATTGATTCGTCTGCCGACTCGATCGTGAAAAAATGAGGTGTGGCTGTCACCCGAAATCGTCATGACCGCAGTGATTTCCTCCGATGTCCTCGGGATTATAATGAAGTGGGCTCCCGACGGATACCTACCCGAAAAGCAATACGGAAACGAATTCATCATCAACGATAAATGGTCAAGCCTGCCCTCGACAACAACAAGACCGAAAAAAATCCCGACGGGAACTGAACCCTGAGCGGACAAGTCAGCAGACTGAGATGAAGACCGACGAGAGGTACACAGAGGAGTGTGGGCAACCGACCGATCGACAGACCGCTTTCTCCGTCCGACAAGCTCGCCTGAGGCCGGTAAGCGGGCGCGTGGAAAGCAGGCTGGCTATCGTATCATATCGCATCACAGCATATCACCCCGATACACTAACTCAGTGACTGGCTCACAAGCGAACAAATACACTCCGTGCACGTATTGGCGGGCTTCTGAAGAAGCTTGCTCTTTTCCGAAGCAATATTTCGAATGATGGGACCCTGCGTCTTGTGTGCGGGACGACTCATGTGAATACGGAAGCGTGTACATATAGATTAATAATTTATTCAAATGGGGGCACTTCCAGTGAATAAACACAAATAGCCTTCAACTGCGGGGAATCGCGATGCTTGACAGCTATATGACAACATGACACAACCACAAAAATCAAATTCACGGCGATTCGTTTCCATTCGAAATACGAGTGGATAGGTGCGACAAATCATCACGGAAGCCGCGGAAAACATATCATGTCCAACTGAGCGAGGAACGAGAGACCGCACTCGTTGCGTAGGACGACCAAGCATAGCAACAATCGACATTGACCACCACGACGATAATGGAGTTTCAATTCTCTGTTCCGCGGCCGTGTTCTCACAAACTGTTGGTGAGCGTTGGAAAATAAAAGAGGGAAAAGTTAAAGCCTCAAATGTGCGTTTGGGCGCTCTCATTGTGCTGTCGGTCCCGTGCCGACTCAATACACTTGGTAGATTCCGTAAATTCTCCTTTCAGTTCATTCCACGGCATTCTATGTCCTCCTAGTTCATTCCACGGCGTTCTATGTCTTGCTCCCACAGCAGTGGCCTCGGTAATGGCAGAAGCGGCCGCGAATGCCCACCGAAGGCCCTCAAAGCGGCGCCTCAGCGCAAGCTTTGGCTTGTTCGCCCTTCATAGCATTCCCATACCGTTCTTCGGTCCCACCTCGGCCTCGAACGCCACCGCATCATCCATCGTATCGATTTCCTCATCTCCCTTCAGAAGTCCCGGCGAGCCCTCCAAATACCCAGTGGCACCACCACCCATCGCCCGTTCCGCCGTCATCGCGAAGAGCAAGAAGACGAAGCAGAGGCGGCAGCGGGAGACTTGGCGAGTCGTCGGAAGCAGCATTGGGAGAGCGGAACTAGCGAGAAGTAAGCAGAGACAGAGTCAAAGACAATCAGGCGACCATGCAAGGGTCGTTGGACCGAAACCAGTTAAACTCAGATTCGATGAGCAGGAGCGGGGTGGTGAAGGAGAGCAGGGCGGCGGCGGAGGAGGAGTTCAGCAAGTCAAATTCAAGAGTCTCACTATTTATGTACCGAACGAACAGCTACAGTTTATTACCTAAACACGCCAAACGAGGCGTGAAGCACGTCGCGCCGTGGCTGAGGGAGCGGGACAAACCCCGACGACTCAGTCAGTAAAAATCCTAGGTGCGGGAACGACGCTGACGACCGACGTCTACGACCGATGTCGACCACAACAACGACAACTATCTCGACTACAACGATCGCGGAAAAAGATATCTGGCCCGACAATATCGCCTTCGTCGTTGTCGACGTCGTCGCCATCATGGGCGAGCACCTCGGCCAGCTGCCATGTCGGGACTGACTCAGAGCTCGGATTTCGAATTACAATTCAGCAATCGGATTCAATTGTACTGATGGTTTGTTCGAAGTTGATGGCCAAAAAACATCGATGCCGCTGCTGCTGCCGCCGCCGCCGCCGATGGAGCTGGAGAATTCGCTGCTGCCGCGGCTGATGCCTCTCGCGGGGGAGCGTTCCTCACCTGAACTTCAAGTTGGTGGATTCGGACCATCAATTGCTTGTTTTGATTTTCGAGGTACTTTTGCTTCTCTTCAATCGCGCCCATGCGCTCGTTTTCCTGCTTGAGCGTCTTCAGGTAGTCTACCGTCGCTTTCAAAATAGTTCCCTGCAACAGAATCGGGCTGGTTAGGAAACACGGTGCTCAAACACGCCGTATGGGAGGTCGGTCGGGGTCGCTCTACGGACTAAAGCAGGCTCTTCGTCGAGCTGCATACCAATTCGAATATAGGCACCAATCTCTACGCTTGACAGTCTGTCTGGGGCGCGCCGGACTATTCGCAAGTAGGTACAATCGAGTCGGCGGAAGTCGTAGGTATCTTTCACTGCCCGAGTTGTTTTCGGTGAGCCGTACACCGTACTCCTTGCACCGGACAGAGAAGCGCGGGATGATGCCGAATTCCCAAACAGCGACGACGACAACGTCACTGCTATCACTTCTGTTACCAGCAGTAGTTGAGTTGTAGCTCAGGAGTTCGCTGATTACCTCGCCGAGAGGTAAGACGTATGTCAACTGCAGCCGTTCAAACAGCTGCGTCCAGCGGTCACTTACGACCTAACTAGTTCATAACCTGTCTCCGGACTAAGGCCGAACAAGCCTCTTAACAGCGTAGCGACCAATAACGCTTGTCTGCCCGCCATGCCTTGCGGGGCGCCCAAATGTCGACTACGAAGCGCTCGTCGACGTCGTCGTCTTCCTATCAGCTTATTACTACGGCTACACCTCTCTTGTGCCCCGTGTCTGTGCGAGTGAATGAGTGACTCGGTGAGCGTCGACACGATGTTCAGTCTGGCCCCACTGTCAGCAATATTCCGACGCTGTCCAGCCCCCGCCACGCCCCATCCCTCCGTCGAAAGGAGCAGCCCCGGGCGGCAACAGTCAAACGAATGAAGCAGCGTCAGGTCGGTCGGTCGGCCCGCCGGCCAAACAGCCGACTCCACGGTCAGCACCGAGCGACGGACATTTCTAACCTTTGCGGGCAGTGAGGAGGAATCTTCCTCCCGGAAGGGATTTGTCTTTGTGTTGATACCTCCTTGCCAAGCCGTCCCAGGCCCAGAACAAGCCGACGAACCTGCCGCCGCCAGTAGTCGACCGACCGATGTCCCGACCGAGCAATCCCATGCTTCCATAGGGCACAAAGATCTCGACGACCATCACTGTCAATACAAGCGAGGAGACCAGCAGCAAGTCAACCAGCTTTAATCTCGTACAGATGGCTTACCTTATTCTGACGAATATCTCGAACCAATTCGTAGTGGCGATCTGTGTTCCTCGGCAATAACGTTCCCAATTCCTTTATCCTGTCGTTGATGTTGAAACGCCGCCGTCTTTCGACTAAAAATCGCAAGAAAACGAAACGTGCTTAGAGAAATTCCCGGTAGATCCCGGCAGATCGAATGGAGAACACTGATGAATCGGTAGGTTTCGCCGAGGATGGATGTAAATACGCAGGTCCCCTCCACGAGGGGGCTCGACTGCCGTAGGAGGTCGATGCGATGCCGGGCATACCTGTAGACCCGGCGGCCGAGCAACGAGAACGGGAAGGCGAAAAGAAGGAAATGTCTCGACATCCAGCTGTTGGGGTGATAGTACAAGAACACCACGGAGCCGGACATGAGCGAGCAGGCGAGGTCAACTCACTGCGTCCAGCTGACCAGGAGCGACTTCGTCTAAAAACAGGTATCCGTCCCCTGCGCCGGACATGTTCGGCTGACACGTCCTTAGACGGACGAGGAGAGAAGATAGTGGAAAAATAATATAATTACACCTCGACGAGAAATTTCCTCCGAGAGCCCGTCGGAGTAACGACGGAATCGGTTCGCTCGAGTCGGAGAGAGCGGTCGACGCGCGGAGGCTAAAAGGGTTAGCTCGCGTCGAAGGCGAAATCCCAGTAAGATTAAGCGAGGAGAGGCAGTCAAGGAGTGTAAAAAAGATTGATGGACTTGCGGGAGGGAGAATGTTTGAATAGGCTATTCGCACCCGACCGCCGGAACGATCTCGCAACCGTCGCTGAGCCTCATCTCTGTCCCTGTCAAGGCGTCCCCGTCCGTCGGGTCCTTGTTGTCCGGAGAGGAGGGAACCCCGCTATTGAGTCTTCATTGCGCGGCATTATCTTTCCGACAAACATGATTCCAAACGGCAGCTACGCTCGCGGCGACTATCGATATCCCTCCTGTCATATGACAGAACGGCGGCCGATATTTCGATCGATTGTCAATTAAAACTGGTGGAATCGCGGATCGATGAACTTGTCGAGAGGCAATATCAGAAATGAGAACTCTTTGGAATACTCGAGTAGATTCGACGTGGGGGCCTCAGTCCCTGCGAGAGCTTCCGCGCACCGCAAAATTCCGGCCGATCCACGGGCTCCGACCGTCCCTCATTTTCAGCATCAATTGCATCGGAACGGTGCGCGGCTTTGGCCACGCACGAATCGCATGGGGAGCGTCCCGCGCTCATCGTCGATCGGAGCGAGAGGAATAATTTTCGAGACCAGTATTCTTCCCCCGATGTCGAGGTCGATGTCGCAGCGTCATGTCTCACCGGAACGCAACAGAAGGAACGCCACCGTGACTGCGACGTGAAACTCGAAACAGAAGTCTCCCGTTTGGCCATCGGGGAAAAGCAGCACCATTTGGGTGAAGAAAAGCAAAGTTCCCCCAAGACCGGCCGACACTGGCACGACGCGAGCGCGACGACGAAAGTCGACTGCGAACGACGCAAACTGATACAAATGCAGACACCAGAGACGAGGATCTGCCAAACAGTGGAAGAGATAGAGAATGATAGCTGGCGCATGGCTCGCTCCCCCAGTAGACTTTTGAGAGCATTCTCAGATTTTATTTCGGAGTAAGTGTCTGCAAGAGTTGCAATCCCGGAAATGGACTCGGACTCTGTTGCGAACTCTCCGCGGAAACACTTCCGTCGACATGAATTTCTCACCCTCGGCTCTTTGAAACCTCGACGCTAGCCTCGGCCCCGTCGGCGGCTCGAAATTCTGACGAAATGTCCTCCAGCTCGGTACCTACAGATCCCGATCGGGAGAATTAGGAGTTTCCGCAGAGGGGCTTGAACGACGCGACGCCGGCCCGACGACTTGATCGTTGCTCTATTGCTGCTGACGCGAAATCACTCTTTCGAGCATTCGAAATCGTAATTGCTCTTGCGCCGTAGCGGAGACTCCTGGTTCCGACAGGGGATAATTCGATCCGCTTCTCATGTGATCCTACCCCCGTCGATAGATCCGGCGGTGAGGACGTCGAGTTTCGTCGGGCGGAGAATTCACCAATCTTAGCGAGTTAGGCGAGAAGCCAAAGTGAAGTCCAGACGACAACGACGACATAAGGCCCGAATAAGCTTCGGTCCCACCGAGGCCCAGCGAGCTTCATCGAGCGTTCAATCCCACAATGGGCTCCCTTGCAGCCCAATGCGGCACACCCGGAACATATTTCGGCCTCCCAGCTCCCCTTCATGGACGGAAGCAAGTCACAATGCCCTGAGGGAGCTGTTTATTTTATTTGTGTTGGAATACTTCTTCTAGATTTTTAGTGGATCCATTTCTTCTCGCTTGCTCTTCTTTTCTCCTTCCCAAAGATGCTGCCTGAAACTCCCTAAGGGCTCTCGGTCTATTCTAGGCCACTCTCCAAGCAGTCAGTAACGGCGAGGCTTTCGGCGGCGGCGAGAGAGAAGGCTGGCGTCGAGTAAATCACAGTCGCGGCGGCGATCGACCTGGTCTCCGTTTGAGTTTTCTAGATTCATCCGAGCTGCTGCTGGCTTCCGAGAGCAAGTGCCGTTCGAGAACCTGTCGGCTCTTAGGACCAGATGATAACCGAGTTTTCTATCTCAATAGATGACGCATCTGCCGGCGCTCGCGAAGCCGCCATCGACGGTTACGACGACGACGACCCTATAAAACCGTGCGTCTTGACACCCCACAGGCATGGCTCGACCGGGCCGAGACCCAGTCTCAGCGACGATGTCGACGGGTATTGGAAACTTCCCGCGATGACCCGGCTGGGACACCTGCATCTTGGTTGTCAGCGCATCGTCTCGACAGCGGAATGAAAAAAAAAGTTTTCAATTCATTCAAGAAATCCGATAGAGCCGTTCCGGGAAGAATGAGCGGTGCGTCGTTCCCGGGTCTCCGAGATTTCAACCGCTGGAGAAGTCGTCTCTATTAGAGAATCATTCCTCGAAGAATGGGTGCTTTGCCGACAAATCAATCGTGTTCGGAACAGTCGTGTCCTTATTCACGAGGCGACCTCCTCTCGAACATCACGGTCCACTCCCTGTTGCCGGACAAGCGCTCGTTCGTAGCTCTTGCTGTTCGTAACGAGTGGACCCTAATCTCTTTCATGCCTCCTTGCTCCTTTACGGTATCCATCCGTTGTCGGAGGGTAGACTTTCAATCTCGCTACATCTGATAAGATCCCTCTCGACAGAAGACTCGAGCTCGCGGTGGCCATCCAACTAACCAGTCAGGCAGGCAGGCTCCTTTGAATGCCTGTAACAAAGCCCGCGATATAGCGGGTTGCATGATCGAAAATTCGAGCCGTACGGCGCACCAACCATTTTTCTCCGGCGGTCGGTCACTCCAATAGGAGTAAGGAAACATCGTCGCTCCAGGGAAAATCAGGCGGTGCTCATTATGACTCGGTCTCGGAGATCCGCTGTCGATCCATACGAGTATTTTTCTCCGGAGGACCTTGCTCGTCATTTCGCGCAGTTTCGCGAGAATCGGAATTTCGAGCTTCGCCACTTTCCTTTCCGCTCGGATAAGTGAGCCGGAATCACCAAGTCAGCGATGACTTGGACTGCAGGTGGTGATTCCTCAACAGAACAGTGAAAAAATTGCTGCGTGAATTGGGCGTAAGCGGATCGGAGAGCACTCGCTCACAATCTTCCGCGGCAGCTGTTATTACTGGAAATTCAAACGTCTTGGCCGTATCTTCACCGCCCAGCGATCCGAACCCGCTCTAAGCTCCACGAGTTTCGGCTCGTTGAATGAGTTCCTCTCATGGAGCATTCGAACACACACGCTCGCTCCATACGCACGTAACCACCGTGCGGTCGACCGCATATGAACATATTTCTGAGCTCCGCGAATGGAAAGAGGATTCCCACAAGCTCACTGTCACCGCAGCGAGTTCTCCCCATATCGCACCACGTCTGTCTGTCTGTCTGTCTGTACGTATGTACACATTGTGAGCAGCAGTGAAACCGCGCCGCAGGAAAGGCATGCTCAGTGGACCAGGTTAATGGTGCGACAACATCGCATCACGGTATCGTTTGTCCTGTATCGCGCAACATTTATCCACCGGTCCATCTATCCACCGATGTCTATCCCCCGCCGATTTATAAAGCGGCTCAAGCTCGGCGAGATCGGCCCGAGCCGGGGCATCGAAATCCCGTCGCCGGCGAGGGAGCGGAGAATTAGCTATGGCTTTCTTTTGTGGCTCAATATATGTAGGCAGTTCGGGGAATATTATTTTACTCACTCATGTTGTGATTATCCTTCTTCTGTCGTTCCTTGGCGATGCTTTTGAGATCACTTTCGGTGAAGAACTCGCATGACGAAGATTCACTTTTGACCATCGCGAGTTCTGCAGGACACGATGACGCCAGAGTAGGGGTCCAGAGGTCATCCATGTCGCTTGCTGGAATCAGTTCATGGCGATTTATTTTCACGGAGCTCGATCGTCTATCCACGAGTTCCGGGCGGGCCCCGATCAGCAGAGAACTCATAGAGAACATCATCATCGTCATCCAGAGAGAAGAACATCGTTGCAGGAGGGAAACATGACTCGAAGCGAATACGTGATTATTGAAAGTGCAATTAGGATTCGTGAATGGGAGAACGATCCAACAGCGGGGAAAACATGGTTAGGAAGAGGCGAAGACATCGTTCACACGGCCATTGAGCTTATCCCGAAGATGCGCCGATCATCATCCACGGTGGAGGCAGACGAGTGGTGGGAATCGCGTCAGCGGCAAGAAGGACAACGCTGGCGAGCGATTTCGATCACCTTGTCCTTCCCGCTAGCGCGCCCTGAGCCAAGCGGTTAGAATATTTTGTTACGTGCGTGTTTACGGCACGCTTCTCTTGGCCGGTCTCTCAATGAATCGGCGAAACACAGCGGGATCGGGGCGACGGCATACCCGCGGGATCTTTGCTCAGCAAGTTTTAGAAGTTCATATTCTAGCGGCACGTAACCCCCATCACCCCGGAAAATTATGCTCTTGTGATTAATTGTAGAATCATCGAAAAAAACATTCGAAGAGGCTGCAGGTGTTCCGATTGCGGAGTTCCGGAACAGACACTCAGGCAGGTGTTCCACCTCGGGAGTCCAAACAATCAATAGAGAATCGGAACTTTTCAAAATAGCTTCAGCGGCGGGCTCATACGGATGGGGATTGGGTTGCGACGTTGGTTTCGATCGAGACTCAAAACTCACCTGAGGGTAGACTGACGTTAGCCGTTGTGCTCTGCGCGGAATTTGAGGTGGGTACCGTTGACGGCAGCTCGAAAAGCGAAAAATCGTCTCCATTAGTTAGCTGGGATAGACCGTCCAGCACATCGTCAAACTGAAAGGCAAAGGCGGACTCATGTAGGTTTTGGAATTGCGTCTGCGGTCTCGCTGGAAGGTATCCGGCTGGATATTTTCGATCAAACCTAATGACAACAGTTTATTACTTGACGTTCCTTCCGAGTTCGGGGCTCATCGCTCCACTCAGAGAGGTTTTTCCGATCCCGCAGGGACCCACGATATGGACACACAGCGCTTATCTGCTTGCATCACTACGATATCCAGCCATGTCACGGGCCGTGAGTACAGGTCCGAATCTCAGAAAATAGGGGAATCGGGGCTTTCAGGGACGGTACGCGGAGCCGCGCTCCTATTACAAGCGAAAAAGTAAACAAAAATAACACACTTCTTGAATGGACAGCAGCGCGACCAACCCCGCGACAAACTTTCAAGAATAGAAACGGACTCTGTTGCTGCCTTTGCGGCGGTCGGCGCGGTCGAGCCGAGGAGTGGGTAAGCCACGGACTCTCGAGATGGACCTACTGACAGATCGAGAAAAGGAAACTATGCTACAGGACCAAGGGTCCCATATCGCGCGAAATGCGAGACGTATCCGTTCTTTAAGTCGACGAATGCCTCGAGGTAAGTTTGTCTGACGGAGCGTATGGTGGCTGAGCAGAGCCGACTCACATCTTATACAGGTCACTTCTTCTATGGCTTGTCCGCTCACTCTTCGGACCGCTCGAGCGGTCGGTAAGTGGTCTACGAAGCGTTCCCACACGCCCCAATCAGGTCCGGGGACGCAACGGAGCGGACAACCGCACTGAGAGTGAGCCTCCCTTTCTCCGAGTCTATTTTTCGAAAACAGCATCGACACTCCGTTCCACCGAACTCGAGAGATCACGGAGGACCGTCGAAAAAAGAGAACAGCGATTGAAGAGACTTCGCAAACACGAACGTTTACGCCGCAGCTGGAAAAAAACGAAGGACAAACCGGAGGGAAGCCGACGGTGAGAGCAAACACAATGGAAATTGTCTAATCGAATTGTCACGGGCATTAGCGTCCGCCTTGATTACATCCGAATTTGGCCCCTGACTCTGACGCCCGCCTGCTTGATCTCCCCTGGCACTCGATCGAAGTCGTTGCTTGAGAAGCCGCGGTTTTCGTTGAGTCGCTGTCACAGGGTGGGAATTCCGTGAATTTTCCCCAGGAAGGGAACTCGGGACGACAGTCGTAGATGGCTCTCGGAAAAACTTCCACCAGCCCTGCGCTCGAGCCATGTATCTCGCCCCGAGCTCCGGCTCAACGAAAATTAGTCTGAGCTCAAAAGTGGACATCAATTCGAAACAGTTTGATCATAACCGCGATGCCGTTGCGGATGCGCCAACACCGCGAGAGTCACAGCAGCAATAAAAATAAACGAAGAGAGCAAAAATCGAGAGAGAGCAAAATTCTTTTTTTTCTCGCTGCGATCACCCCGCTTAATTGCCGAGGAGTCATTAGGAGCTTACGTCAACAAACATCTCTTCAGGCTGTCGTGTAGTCAACGTTTATCACGCTGCTCGGTGCGCGAGCCACACCGGCTTGCCGGATCAGATACCGGTGCACACGAACACACTCACACGCGTCACAGACACATCCACGCGTCAAGATTACGCCTACTTAGCAAAACATGGTGAAAAGTGAGAGCTACACCACAATCAACGTGTTGTTGAGCCCAATGAGCCCCGAAGGAAAGCACATTTTGTGGATGGTTGGTCGCCGGGTTGCGTGCCATTGATCTTGCGATGTGGAATTCAAGAACGAAACATGAGTACGCAGCCATGTCCTCTTCGCTCGAGAGACCGGCGTGATTGACTTATCAGTAAACGAGTGTTGATCAAAACATTCGCCTAGCGATCGAATCAGTACCGATCAGTGGAGTACCTACAACCACTACTACTGCTACTACTAATACGGCGGCCGCCGCCGTCGTCGTCATCATCACCGCCGAAAGGAACGGAGGACCAGTCAACCGGATTTGTGGTCGCCACGCGTGAGCGCCAACGAGGAACATGATTCCTGAAGCAATAATAGACTTCCCGCGGCACTGGCCATTTATCCGTAAATAATCTCCCAGTTATTGTGCGGCTCGTCGGACGGCATTCGTCTTGTCTTCGCAGTCTGCGTCGCTCGTGAGTCCTCAGTATGTCGTCGTCGTTGCCGCCGCTGCCGTTTCCGCCGCTTCCGATGCCGCTATGACAAGCCCGCCTGGCGTCCGCTTGCGAGGATTCTTGTCGCCTGGCTAGCGGGCCCAGTGGTGGGCAGGCTGTTGAGAGAAGAAACGTGGGAAGAAGACGAACTGGCTTGGGGATGGCGACGAGGGAGCGGGGCTGGCTGGCTAGTGAGTGGATAGAAGTCAAAAGACAGCCCACGATCCAACAACAGCTGCTCCGCAGTCCGAAAATGCTTGAAGCAGTCTTCACGACAGCTAGACGCACAACCGAACGGGGGAACCGTCGGACTGACGGACGACTGCAGAGACCGACAGGCAGACAGCCGTTCGGCGACATCGCCTTGCGATATGTCGTCCACGGATTTAGAGGAAAAATATCACCCAGCTTCGGATGACAACACCAGCGGCGGCGGCGGTGGGAGACGCGACGGCGAAAAAGTCAAGTCGTTTCTCAAAGATAATTCCCTCACCGAGCATCATGCCCAGCAATCGGGGCGCGCGGCGGCGCGTATGCACGATTTCGAGGGTCGTGGTTCCGAGGCTCCTGGACCCAATTTTTGAAAGCACGGAAGCGATCATCATCCTGCTGCCGGCTGTTGGCTGTCCAAAGCAAACCGTTGCCGTTTGTCACATGGTGTCACTACGAACTCTTTATCGGCGCCCTCCTCGAGGGCAAGCTCTGTCGTTGTTCCTCTCCTTGACGAAGCTCGAGACAAACCGACTCTCAGAGACAGAGAGACGAGGAGAGTTGACGTATAATAACTGTCTTGCCGAAGGACGGAACTGGACGCCGCGGCGGGGAGCCGAAGAGGGAAATCCAATTGCCAAGGTGGCAAAGATGAAATCATGGCGAGAGCCGGGAGAGGAGACCGAGACAACTCCCGTCGGTAGCCGGCGTCCGATTGGGACGACTCCTTTTCGGCCGACTCGCCGACCAGTACAGCCAGTCTGAGTGAGTGGCACGCGAGTGGGCAATCGTCGCAATAAAGATTGACAGAGAAGGATAACTCCGGAGTTGTCGAGAAACTAAGTTTGTCCGCAGTTGTACGACAGTTTTCACTTGTTAAAAGGAAAGCTCTCCAACATCTCGACTCTCTCGTTGATCGCTCGTCCCGTCGACCGACCGACCGAGTGTCCTTCCTCCTTCCCTCCCGTGGATAGGCCGAGTGAGCGGAACAAGAGCAGCGGGAGCACGGGAACCAGGAGTAGGCGGAAAGGAAACTCCGTAAGGACAGCGAGGGAACGAGAACGAAAATCAGCAGTCGCGGCATCGGTAGAGAGAGAGAGCACGATGACGATGAAAATAGGTAGTGGGTGGAAGAGGGAGATGAAGACGAAAGTCAAGAGTGAGGAAAATAGGGAAGGACGAGGATCAGAACGAGGAGAGCGGGCCTGAGGAGGAAACACATAAGAAGCTGCTGTCTCTCAATCCAAGGGAGGAGGAAAAGATACTCAGCCTGCAGACTGATTTGTCTCCCTCTTCGGAAGGAGGAGATCGGAGACGAGACCGAAACAAGACGATCCGATTTCGGTTACAGGATACCCGCCACCCCGTCGTCCACCGCTACCGATCGTACGCCGTACGTAGGTAGGTACGTACGTCCGACCGACCCACCGACCGGTCGACTGTCTGTGTTTCTGTCGGCCTGTCTTTAGGTCGGTACGTCCAACCGGTAGTCGGTCTGCGTGTCTCAGCGTGCGTCGATCTTTCCCTTCGTACGTTCGTCGGTCCGTCCCATCTCTCGCCCGTCCGTCCTCCGGCCCGTCTGGGTGTCCGTTATCCTTACGTCCATTTTCCTGGATACGGATCCTTAAGGAGCCCCATGAGCATTGAGTTTCCCTCCGGACGTCGAAGGGTAACGTCTTCCGTTGCGACATGCAGCGGGGATTCGGTTTCATTCTCTGTAAACGGATGGAGCCGCTGTCTATCCGACAGGCGGAGTGACGGAGGAACGAAATAACGGATTCGCGAAGTGAAGGATCGACAAACAGACACGGGACGGATTGATGGATGGATGGACTCGACGGATGCATGAAGTGCTTGAAGAACGGGTGCACGCGCGAAGAAACTCGTATGTATGCGTCACAGCAAAATAAAGAATCATGAGGGCATGCTCTGCCGAGCACTCGAGCCCCGGAGTCGAAACCACCTCCTTCGCTCATTTCCCAGAATGACCGCGCGCAATCAAACAGCGGGTCCGACGCCGTAATCGGGGAAAAACGGAATGCGATCCCGGCGCGTCGTCGGGAGGTCCGGAGGAGACGATTGGCATGATGGCGAGGAGCGCTTCAGGACGCTGGAACTCACCGATACGTCCTCGCTTTGAGTTGGCGTGAAAAAAATGTCTCGAGGAACGAGCTGGCTCTACGGAGTTAAACAGGCCCCGAGATCAGGGCTTCTTTGCCTGTCGCAGCCTGCACGATTTTTTCCCCTGGCGCGTAATTCGAGAGTCTCGCTCCTTTGCACATACGCTGCATCCGAGTGGACAACGGACACACTTTGGTTCCAATGAGTGTTTGACGTTGGCCGATACCGATCAGGCTTCCGCGGCCACCGGAAAGAAGACGAACGACGGGCCAGGAAAACAGATGAATGGATTGATTGACTTAATGAGTGGCTTGATTCCTGCGATGTTGAACAGCGTCAGAGGATGACCAATACAGCACCCGATAGATTGATCAGAGGCCCGATCTTCACAATGATCGATTGAGCCGAGCATGCCGATCGACCCATCCGGCGATCGAGCGACCGAGCGACGTGTTATCTTGGTCGCGGGCTGCGAACGAGGGCATTAAAGGAGGTTCGTTCAGTAGTGGAGTAGGGTGGTTTAGAGGCGGGAAT